GGGGGGGGGGGGGGGGGGGGGGGGGGGGGGGGGGGGGGGGGGGGGGGGGGGGGGGGGGGGGGGGGGGGGGGGGGGGGGGGGGGGGGGGGGGGGGGGGGGGGGGGGGGGGGGGGGGGGGGGGGGGGGGGGGGGGGGGGGGGGGGGGGGGGGGGGGGGGGGGGGGGGGGGGGGGGGGGGGGGGGGGGGGGGGGGGGGGGGGGGGGGGGGGGGGGGGGGGGGGGGGGGGGGGGGGGGGGGGGGGGGGGGGGGGGGGGGGGGGGGGGGGGGGGGGGGGGGGGGGGGGGGGGGGGGGGGGGGGGGGGGGGGGGGGGGGGGGGGGGGGGGGGGGGGGGGGGGGGGGGGGGGGGGGGGGGGGGGGGGGGGGGGGGGGGGGGGGGGGGGGGGGGGGGGGGGGGGGGGGGGGGGGGGGGGGGGGGGGGGGGGGGGGGGGGGGGGGGGGGGGGGGGGGGGGGGGGGGGGGGGGGGGGGGGGGGGGGGGGGGGGGGGGGGGGGGGGGGGGGGGGGGGGGGGGGGGGGGGGGGGGGGGGGGGGGGGGGGGGGGGGGGGGGGGGGGGGGGGGGGGGGGGGGGGGGGGGGGGGGGGGGGGGGGGGGGGGGGGGGGGGGGGGGGGGGGGGGGGGGGGGGGGGGGGGGGGGGGGGGGGGGGGGGGGGGGGGGGGGGGGGGGGGGGGGGGGGGGGGGGGGGGGGGGGGGGGGGGGGGGGGGGGGGGGGGGGGGGGGGGGGGGGGGGGGGGGGGGGGGGGGGGGGGGGGGGGGGGGGGGGGGGGGGGGGGGGGGGGGGGGGGGGGGGGGGGGGGGGGGGGGGGGGGGGGGGGGGGGGGGGGGGGGGGGGGGGGGGGGGGGGGGGGGGGGGGGGGGGGGGGGGGGGGGGGGGGGGGGGGGGGGGGGGGGGGGGGGGGGGGGGGGGGGGGGGGGGGGGGGGGGGGGGGGGGGGGGGGGGGGGGGGGGGGGGGGGGGGGGGGGGGGGGGGGGGGGGGGGGGGGGGGGGGGGGGGGGGGGGGGGGGGGGGGGGGGGGGGGGGGGGGGGGGGGGGGGGGGGGGGGGGGGGGGGGGGGGGGGGGGGGGGGGGGGGGGGGGGGGGGGGGGGGGGGGGGGGGGGGGGGGGGGGGGGGGGGGGGGGGGGGGGGGGGGGGGGGGGGGGGGGGGGGGGGGGGGGGGGGGGGGGGGGGGGGGGGGGGGGGGGGGGGGGGGGGGGGGGGGGGGGGGGGGGGGGGGGGGGGGGGGGGGGGGGGGGGGGGGGGGGAGGGGGGGGGGGGGGGGGGGGGGGGGGGGGGGGGGGGGGGGGGGGGGGGGGGGGGGGGGGGGGGGGGGGGGGGGGGGGGGGGGGGGGGGGGGGGGGGGGGGGGGGGGGGGGGGGGGGGGGGGGGGGGGGGGGGGGGGGGGGGGGGGGGGGGGGGGGGGGGGGGGGGGGGGGGGGGGGGGGGGGGGGGGGGGGGGGGGGGGGGGGGGGGGGGGGGG